TTAGTATTAGACAGTTCAATGGAGAGACATTGTATGAACATTGAGAGATTTTTAAGAACTTATGTGCCAACTACCTATACCATTAAATTTCCGATTAACTACCGATTGCATACTCTTATGAGGGATTGCTTCATATGGAGAAACACTAACAAAAAAGACATTCAATACTACAAGAGCTCTAATATCCAACATGATCTGTAAATTCATAACAATTTGATGCTAGGGTTGATCACACATCAAAAAAGATAAATAAAGTCAATATATCTAGCTTGAAGCAATAAATATCCGACTAGATTTCACTAGTGAGGCAAATGGTCATGGGAAATCTATAAGTTGTTAAAGCTTATGGAATTTATTTGACTACATATCATATTACCGATATGTGCCCAAAACTACAAAAAGGGCACACTCGAAAATTACATGTTGCTCGAGAATTTTGGTGGTGGCCAATCAAGACCTTATGACCCTTTCTCCAACACCTACAATCTAAGTTAGAGAGACCACCTTAATTTAAGATATGGAGACAACTAGTAAGGAGGGAAAAACTACTACCAACAAAGGCAACGAGGCTATTAACCTAAGCCTTTTCAACAATAACTCTCCCAAAACTCGGATAATTCATTAGAGGAAATGATAAAGTCTCTTGCTTTGAGTATAAAACAATTCCAGCAAGATACAAGGTTCAACATTCAGAACCTAAAAATCAAATAAGTCAAATGATAACTATTGTGAGTCGTTTAAAGGCTCAAGCCAAAAAACATTTTCCATCCTAAATGATGGTAAACCCAAAAGAAAATATAAGTGCTTATAACCTTAGAAGCAATGCTCGGTGGAGAAACCATGAAAACTAATATATGAGGCAATCGATGAAGCAAAGTTAGAGTTAGAAATAGAGAAGGAAAACACCAATTGATGGGGCTACATCAAGCCTTACGGTAAATCCTAACCCTTCAATTCGGTTTTCGACTAACTATGCACCTTTTCTTAGCAGATTAGAAAAGCCTAAAAATTAGAAGTTGAAAAAAGAGAAATAAAGGAATATCTTTAAGTCTGTTTAGTAAGATCGAAGTGAACATACATCTCTTGGAGGCAATCAAGCAAGTGCCTAGGTATGCCAAATTCTTGAAAAACTTATGCATGAATAAAAGAAAATTGGACAACAACAAAAAGTACTAATGGGAGAGAATGTTTTTTTTTGTGTTTCAAGGAAGATTCCTCCAAAATACACGAATCTAGGTATATTCACTATACCTTATTATTTTAAATAGTTTGTACAAGATTGTAGTAGTAGTTGAAATGGTAATTTATGACTTTTATTATATTGATAGATATTGAAAGAAAAATTTAATAGAAAAAAATGATAATTTTAATTGATAATGAGAAATAACATGTTTGAAAATAAGAAGAACTAGATGACCAAATCTATGATGCCATTCGGATGAAATGGTCTTGGCATTGAAGAAAGAAAATAAAGGTGGTTTAAAAAATGAGAACCTAGCCACTTATACACATACCCTTGTTTGGCCCATCAAAAGGATTGCCTTAGTATGAAGTTCTAAAATAAGAAAAAAAAAAAAAGAATTCAATAGATACATTATTAGCTATGTAAAATTAAAAAAATAGATAGTAAATAATTCTTTCAAATTTTAGGGACAAAAAGAACATTAGATAAGGTGAAAGTAGTGATAGGGGTAGTAAACAAAATGGAATCGAGTGTGAGGAATGGGTAGACTTGTGCCATCCCTAATCATGACATCATCGGTTTCAACGTATGGTGTATAAAGAGAGATAGATTGCTCAAGTCGATGGTGATATAGTGAGAAGCACCACTATTAAAGAGCCATAATAAAATAATATATGGTATGGTAGATGCAAAATGAGCATGAGATTGCAATTATGCTAAGGAGCTAGAAGCTTGTAGTAGAGATGTAGATGATGATGCAATTGGCATAAGGTACATTGAAAAGCATCGCTTGACGAGTGTGACCACGAATGCCACAAAGCTAATAGTAGCCAAGGTATGGTCATGGTGGTGGTTGTTCACGGTGAGGCTTGTTTGGTTTGAGTCTTGGAGAAGGGTGCCAACTAGGGGTAGAGGATGAATGCCACCTAGTGTTGGTGAAGCTAGAAGATGACAACACGGTGTTAGTGAAAGATGAGTGCCGCCTAAAGTCGTGTAAACTATGTTGTTGCGATGGGTCTGGATTAGTAGTAGTTGAAAAATATGACTTGTTGGGATGGGCCTCTAGTAGATGTGCTTTAAAAGTGTAAATTTTTTCATAAAGTTCATCAAAGGTAGGAGGCATGTCATGAGATTGAATGACATTGACAATGTCTTTTTAATCACTACTAAGAACATTTAGATTTTTTTCTACAAGATCATCACCGTCTGTAGAGGCGGCAAGAAGAGCAATTTCATCGGCTCGACCTTTGATAACTTATAGAAAATTAGTGATACTTCGAGAACATATGGTGAGGTTTTTTAATTGGCTCTTAACTTATTTGATATAATTCCTAGATGGCTTGGCATAAATATTAGTAAAAATCGTCTAAATTGAATATGAGTTGATCTTGATGAATCCAAATTGCACGAGCTGGATTAGGTTGAGTGGTTTGATCTGTAGTGATGGTTGAGGGAGCGGTAGGTTGAGTTAGTTGAATTATAGTGATTTTTTTTGGGTAGGCATGGTTTGGTACCATCAATGTAGCCAAAAAGATCATAGTTAATGAAGAGAGTTTGAAATTGGAGTTTTCATATGATGTAATTCGTAGAGGTGAGTTTAAGAGGGAGAAATTTTATAATATAAGAGTAATTTGTGACATGTATAGTAGTTATTTTATGGATCCACTTGAAGGAGAGATAGACACATAAAATTACATCCGGACCCACCAAAAGTGATAAGAAGATTTTCACATCCGCTTAATTTTTTTTTTATTTTCTCTCTCTTATTTCTCTTTTTTTTTTTTTATGTGTGTGTCTCTCTATTTTAAGTGAATCTATAGAGTAAATATTGTACATATCACTAATTACTCTTTGTATATTATAAAATTTCTCTTTAAGAGGTGCTTGGGCAGAAATATTGATGGTGATGAGTGTTTGGTGTGTATCGCTTGTATGAGAATAATTTTTAGATGGTCATGGTGAGACTTAGATTAGTGGCACTGAGTTATATGCAAAAGAAAAAAAAATGGAAAGCAAGGGACAAAGGAGCCTATGGCTGAGTTTTGTTTTTTAAAGAAAAACATGATTTGATACCATGTTACTTATGTGAGAATTACGTACCTTCTTTATATATATATATATATATATATAATTTAGATGACTTAATTTTCTATAATTGAGTTAAACAGAATAATGATAATCCTCTCTCTCTCTATATATATAAAGTTAAGGAATTACATATACTTAATCTCTGATAAGCAAGGCATTTTATAGCTTTAAGAAATTACAGCTACATAATCTTTTATAATCAAGGCATAGTTAACCTATATTTCTATTTTGCCTTACATTTCTATTGTTTTGAGAAATATTACGCGTGTTTCCAAAAAAGAGAAAACCAGTTTAGAAAACGTTGAAATTATTTCAGAAAACAATATCCATGGCTTGACCATGAAAATGCCGATCATTTTACCTTGATGTAAACGTGAATGCTATTTCAATTTTGGCTGCTTTGAAAATTTGCTTCTTGCTTTCAAATTCATGGCTCTACGTCCAACTAAATAAATTAGGTGCATGGATGGTTGGGTCAGGATTGTTGACTTGCAAACGGGGCTTCATGACAGAAGAATATATCTTAGCCTACTCATTTACAGCAAGTTAAACGATTTGTACAACATTAATTTATTAAAATGATGATTATTTGTGGCCAGCAGCTCTCTCTCTTTCTAATCTTTTCTGGATACACATGAATCAGATGAGATCCATTCACGAGAGGGGAAAAAACTAATAAAAAAATCACAGCTCACTGTGATGACTTCTCCTCTCTCTGTCTCTCTTTTTAATTCACAATTAGATGTTTCAACTGTATTTTTCTTATTTGAGTTGCTGACCGTTGATAAAAATGCAATTAAATGTCTCAATAGACATCTATTAAGAATTTGTTATTGCATCTCTTAAATGATGATATCGAAACCAAAATCTTAAAAAAAAAAATTAAATATTGTTAGCATGAGTATAAAATAAGTTTAAAGGGCTTTTCTATCTTCAAGAGATGTCGTGATGATGAAATTTAGGTAATAAGCTATGTGTGTGTTTTTTTTCTCAATTGGCAACTTTAACATACCTAGAGTTCTAATTTTCTTGTAAGATTTTGATATCTATATATGTCATCATTTAATATGTACATCAACAAATTGTTAATAGATATTTCATTGAGACAATTGATTGAAGAGCAATTAATAAAAATTATAGTTAAAACATTCAATTGTAAAAATTAAAAAAACTAATTAATAATATCGCTATCTCTCCTTTATTATTATTATTATTATTAAAATGTGTGGATATGATGTGAACCAGTACTTTCAAAGCATAAAAAGTCTCCGTGCACCAAAAGAACAACACACGCATATCCAATTTTTGGTGCTTGTAATTGTATATATATATATATATATATATATATATATATATATATATATATATATATATATATATATATATATATATATATATATCCGTTGTATTTTTTTATTATAAATGACAGATTTAATATTTGACCTTTAAAAAAAAATTAAGAAACTAATATTAATTGAATTATTATTCATTCGTTGTACCATTGGCATTTGGCTCCTAGACTTTTTCTTTCTTTATTTTCTTCATAATTTTTTTTATCAAGTCTTTTTTTATTGTTTTTGTGTCTGCTATACTTTCATAGGCTTTGAATTGATTTTTTCCTTAAGCTTTCCTATAAAGAGAAAATTCTTCCATGCTGCTCTCCTTGTAATGTTACGTTTAATTTTGTATATTGGTTTTTCTAAAGCTAATTTCTTTGAAGAACTCAGAAATGGCAAATAGTCCTAATATCTCCAAGTCCTTCAAGCTTCCGTCTCCATTACCATCTTGGCCATCAGGTTCCCATCATTCTTTTCCCCTCTCCCTTTCAATCCTACTATTTTTAAAGACGGTATATTTGTTGATCATATAAATATAACCTCCTACTAATCTTTATCGGTGTTGTATATTTTTTTCTCCTTTGAATTACATTAATATACAGGTGAAGGGTTTTCCAAAGGAATCATTCATCTGGGAGGAGGATTACAAGTGTGCCAGATATCATCTCTCAACAAAGTGTGGGCCACACATGAAGGGGGCCCCAACAACCTTGGAGCTACCTTCTTTGAGCCGTCACAGGTGCCACAGGGTTTCTCTATGCTGGGTTGCTATAGCCAGCCCAACAACAGGATGCTACATGGGTGGGTTCTTGCAGGCAAAGATGAGACAGGCACAGCCTTGAAGAACCCTATAGATTATACTCTTGTTTGGAACACTGAATCTTTGCAAATCAAGCAAGATGGTGTTGGCTACATTTGGCTGCCTACTCCTCCTGATGGTTACAAAGCCCTAGGCCATGTTGTCACCAACACCCCTCAAAAGCCTCCCCTTGAAAAAGTTCGGTGCGTTCGCTCTGACCTTACCGACGAATGCCAGGCTGACACGTGGCTATGGGGACCTGGTAAGCAGAGTGATCCAAATGGTTTCAACGTTTTCAGCCTGCGTCCAAGCAACAGAGGAACACAAGCTATGGGTGTCTCTGTTGGTGCATTTGTAGCCCAAAATACCACCGCTGCTCCTATTTCTCTAGCATGTTTGAAGAATGTTGAGTCAAATTTAACTTGTATGCCTAATCTAGGCCAAGTTCAAGCACTATTCCAGGCGTACTCTCCTTGGATATATTTCCATCCTGATGAGCAGTACCTTCCATCTTCTGTGAGTTGGTATTTTACCAACGGGGCGTTATTATATAAGAAGGGCGAAGAGTCCAAACCTGTCCCTGTCGAATCGACAGGCTCGAACCTTCCTCAAGGTGGTTCGAACGATGGTGGTTATTGGCTGGATCTTCCTGTGGAGGAGGGGGCCAAGGAAAGAGTAAAGAAAGGAGATTTGCAAGGCTGCCAAGTCTATTTACACGTAAAACCAATGTTGGGTGCCACCTTCACTGATATAGTTGCTTGGCTATTCTACCCTTTCAATGGTCCTGGTAGGGCTAAAGTAGATTTCATCGATAGTATTCCACTGGGGAAAACAGGACAGCATGTTGGTGACTGGGAGCATGTGACCCTAAGGATCAGCAACTTCAGTGGAGAGCTATGGAGTATGTATCTGTCAGCACACAGCGGGGGAAATGGCATGATGCCTCAGACCTTGAATTTCAAAATGGCAACAAAGCTGTAACTTATTCATCTTTAAACGGTCATGCCATGTACGCCAAGCCAGGTCTAGTTTTACAAGGGAGTGGGAACGTAGGAATTAGAAACGATACTGCTAAAAGTAAGAAATTCGTGGATACTGGAGCAAGATTCTCGGTGGTGGCAGCTCAGTACTTGGGCAGGACCATTGTTGAACCATCATGGCTCAACTATTTGAGGAAATGGGGTCCAAATATTACTTATAATATTGCGGAAGATGCCGAGAAGGTGAAGAAAATATTGCCTGGAAGACTCAAATCTGCTTTTGAAAACTTGGTCAAGAGTCTACCAAGGGAGGTGTTTGGGGAAGATGGGCCTACGGGTCCCAAGTTGAAAAGAAATTGGACTGGAGACGAGGTTTGATTTTTTAAATCGTTTCCTCCCATCAGGTGATGAAGTTTGAACGAAGATTAGAAGAAGCCAGGCGCTTGATTTTCTTTTTTATTTGAGAATTCGCTTGAAATTGTTTTTTAATGGGTTGTGATTTAATGCTCTCAAGATGTTCAAAAAATAAAAGTGATGTTATAAAATAAATAGAAATAATAGGAGAATTGAAGAAAATGATGACAAGAAAATGAAATCACTATAATATGAATATAAGTGATAAGAACTTCAAAGTTCCTCTTATTCTCTCTAAGAAACTTGTACATCAACTAATGAACAATCAAGCCTATTTATAGGCTTCAAATTAAGAAGAGAATTGAAAAGGACTATGAATAATCAATTGCATCACCCTTTTAATTTCTCATATTAAATGATGAATTGAATCATATTAAGAATCATGAGTAGTGGGGATATGAAAAGTGGATGAACATGATGATGGACATTCATTATCATTATTTCATAACACTCCCCTTGAATGTCCATTGTACAAGGAATATGCCTCGTTAAAACCTTACTAGGAAAAAACCCAGGTGGGAAAAAAATCCTAATAAAGGAAAAAGAGTACAATATTCCTTGCACGCATTAATCCTCATTTTTGTCTCCCCTATTAAAGACATTATTTAAGATCTCTAAGATGATGCATTCCAATCTTGTGAATCATCTTCTCAAAAGTTGTGATAGGTAACACCTTAGTGAACAAATCTGTTGGATTGTCACTTTAATGTATTCTTCCTTCAATGGAACTATGAAAGCGACATTATCCTTATATGATATTGTTAGAACTTCTTTTCTTGATAGATAAATCGCATATCTCTCGGATATGATGGATCGTTGATCTTAGCCAAACACATTCTCGACTTGCCTTGTGAATTGATATTTCGCATGATTTGAAGATATGACGGCTATAGTTTGCTTTATAGAACACAAACATATAGTTGGATCTCCATATGTAAATATATAACTAGTTGTGATCAAGCTTTGTGTAGATCGGATAAATAACTCTGCATTTGTATAACCAATTAATCTTATCTTTGATTTATTAGAGTAATATAAGCCCATATCAATTTTTCCTCGAAGATAACATAATATATATTTAACTTTATTTCAATGTCTTTATATTAAAACAGAACTATGACTTGCTAACAAATTTATAAAAAAGACTATATTAGGTCGAGTATTATTAGCAAGATATATCAATGCACCGATGGCACTAAAATATGGTACTTCGGGACCAAGTAGTTTTTCGTTATCTTCTCGAGGTCAAAAAAGATCTTTTTGGATATCAAGTGAATGAGCTACCATTGGGCTAGTCAATGAATGATCTTTATATAAAATCATTGTAAAACCTTTTTCGATATAAATTGACTAATGAATGAAAATCTCATTTTCCGAGTGCTCGAAGCTACGAGTCGAGATAACATTTTATTTTTCCAAGATATTCACATCAAATTCTCTTTTTAGGTAACTTATGACACTTGAAATCTCTTCGGGAGTTTCAATAATATTTAAGTTATCAACATATAAAATAAATCCCTTTTTAAATAAAAAATATGAACAAATAGGGTTATTTCCTATAACTTTCTTTCAAGAAATAATCATTGAAGTGATTATATCACATGCACACGGGTTAGTAATAAACGAGTAGATATAAAAATAAAATATAAAAAGTATAAATTGAATTTCTAAAAACCAAAATAATAAAATAAATACTAAAATAATCCTAATAAAGATCTTTATAATCTAATTGAATTCTTTTCTCGATAATATGTATTACATGCTTCGGCATGTTAAGTCCTTCTAGGACTTTCATACGATATCATTTCAAATGAACAAATAAGCTGTGATCACATTCATTAAATGCATGCATATGAATGTTTTCATACATTTTCCTAAGCTAATGAGATAACAAAAGACAATTGCATCCACTATAGGAGAATATGTCTCCTCATAGTCAATGTCAATTCTTTACGAAAACTTTTATGTTAAAAGTTTTTCTTTATATCTTATAATCTCATCTTTCTTATTTCATTTTCGCATAAATACATATTTGTATCTCACTAGCTTAACATCTTCAAGTGTTTTAGCTATGGGTTTAAAAAACTACTCTTTTATAAGAGAACATAATTTTGCCTAGATTGCTCTTTTCATTTAGGCCAATCATCTTTATGTCGACATTCTTCAATAATTTAGGCTCGGGATCCTTATTTTCATCCATAATACCAATTGCAATATTATATGCAAAAATCTTATCAATAGATATTTCTTTTCGGTCCTATTTTCTCCTGCATTGATATAATTTATCAAAATCTCTTGATTTTTCTCAAGTATTTGGACTTCTTCCGGAAGCCTATTATCGAAATATATTGGATCATTTTGTGAATATTTTCATCTTGCCCTTTTCTTTTAGGGATTTTTATCTTTAAAACCGATCAGTCTTCCACGCTTCGGACGTGCTTTAGATTTATTAGCTATAATATTAATAGACTCGTCCTTTCGGGACATCAATTCTAATATGAGCATTCTCGGCGGGGACATGCATTATAGTTATTCATTTAGGACCTAAGAATGCATCTAGCGATCGGTTTCTAATACCTTATAAATGAATTATCTTTTGAACTTCGGTTCACATTATTTTGTACGAGATTCAATATGATATAAAGATAGAGTACTCCATGTAATCTTTTTTTTTTCAACATTTCCAACTGCTTATTTTGCTCTCTCCTTCTAATGTTGGAAAAACTTTTTCATCAAAATGAAAGTCAATAAATCGAGTCTGTAAAAATACCTCTTATTCATGAATCAAGAGATCGAAGAAGATTCAAATCCAACATATATTCTCAATCTCCTTTAAGTGCTCATTTTATTTTCTTATGAATGAGCACTAAGGATATACACTCGCAATGTCGGATGACCATAAATCAACCGAAGATGAGAGAATTTCGATAACTTATGGGTCATATGTGAATAACCGTTGTTACATTTAATATTGCATGTCCCCAAACATAAACAGGGAGTTTTATTTTTAAATAATGGTTTAGCTATTAATTAGAGCCTTTTGATAAATGATTTTGCTAAACCTTTTTGAGTATGAACATGAGCAATAGGATGTTCAACCTTTATTTTAATAGCCAATCCATAATAATTTAATGCTTGAGAAATAAATTCATCAGCATTATCAAGGTGACTTGTTTTAATGGCATAATTTAAAAATTATGTTTAAAATAAAATCAAATTATTTGCTAGCAATCTCGAAAACGTCGGGTTTCGAGTAGATAATAAGTATATATGTGACCATCTTGTGGATGTATTTATCAACATCGTAAAATATTTAAATTATCCATATGGTGGATGAATTGATCCACATATATCACCTTGAATATATTCTAAAATACTGAAGATTCAATCTTAATTTTACTTGATGATGGCTTAATCATCAATTTACCTTGACAACAAACAAGCACATGAAAGTTTATTAAATGGAAGAATCTTCTAGCTCATCAATAGATATCCTTATGAATTTTTAATAATTTTTTGCATCATGAAAGACCCAAGATAGCACAACTGGTCATGTCATATAATAAAAGTATTTGAATTAGTAAACTTCGGTTTACTATAATATTTGTTTCAATCATTTCAATATTTGTAATAAATGATTGAAACAAAGACTAGAAGAGAAAACGGATAAATTATTTTTTGATAGATATTTTCTACCCGATATAATGATTATAACATATAAGAATTCGCATTTGCTATCTTGATATGATATCAATTCGGATGAATATCTTTGAAACTCAACAAATTTCTATGAGACTTTGAAGAGAATAGTACATCATTTATAATAAATTTATCCTTTCGGATAATAACATATTTAATCTTCTGGAGCCTTTAAATTAGTTACTTCAAGTACTAATTTATTGACTCTTCTAGAGCCTTTAAAAGTTATCTCTTTAAGTAATAATATGTTCACTCTTCTAGAGCTTCAAAAATTTATCTCTTCAAATCATAATATAATCGCTCTTCTAGAGTCTTCAAAATTTATCTCTTTAGATGATAATAATATAGTCGCTCTTCTAGAGCTTTCTATTATATTGATATTATCATATATAATATTAACATAAAATAAATAATTAAATAAATCAATATAAAATAAATAAATAAATATATTCCTCATAAACTAAATAAATAAATAAATAATAAATTTGTAACCATCACTATATGATATAAATTATAAGAAATATAAAATATTTTATTTATAAATAGAAAAACTAACAAGTAATTAATTTCAATTACTATTATTTTGATATATAAAAGTGGCCTTCATATTTTACTCTTTATTTTTTAATAAGGCTTGACAAGCCTCAATGAGGTGCTTTGGTATATGACAGGTACACGATTAATATTCATTCATTCCACATCTATAATATTTATTTTTCAGAATACTAACTCTATCTATTTTTTTTTTTTTTCATAGTTATCCACTTCGGTGGTGAAATATAATATTATGGTCATTACAATTATAATGATAATTATTTTGACAACATCCATGGCTATGACTACATCTTCGTCCATGTCTAAAATTATTATAAATTGTCACATTCACTTCGGGGAATGGAATAGATCCAATTGGACGAGATTTATTCTTTTTCATCAATAGCTTTTCATTTTATTTAGCCATGAGCAAATATGAAATCGATTCAGAATATTTCTTAAACTCTTTTTCTTGATATGCTACTGCAAGAGCATATTTGAGGCATGAAAAGTAGATGATCTTGATATATTATCTGCAGGAGCATATTCAAAGCATGAAAAGTAGATGATATTAACTTAGAATCAAGCACTCATGATTAATAATTCTTGCCCAAAATGTCAAGAGACACAAAATCAAGTTTTGTGATGGTTGATAAGATATCATTAAAATTGTATAATGCAAAGTATAATAATAATGTTAGGAAATAAAGATAAAATATAATAATAAAATTTAAATAAATATAAATATAATAATAAAATTTGAACTTTTCAAATAATATATATTAAATTATTACATTCTATATATTAAATTATTAAAATTTTTCAAATATATATTCTATGTATCATTAAATTTAAAATACATAATAAATTAGATACATACCTCTTAATGATCTAAATAATAATTTAGATCCAATCGGTAAAGCACTTGTGCAAAAGAAATCCAATGGTTGAAACAATTGATTAAGTATTTTGATAGATACATACCTCATGGTCTATTATCTCGATTGGTTAGAACTTCGTACCGATAACATATTATAAAATAAATAGAAATAATAGGAGAATTGAAGAAAAGGATGACAAGAAAATGAAATCACTATAATATGAATATAAGTTATAAGAACTTCAAAGTTTCTCTTATTCTCTCTAAGAAACTTGTACATCAACTAATGAACAATGAAACATATTTATAGGCTTCAAAATTAAGGAGAGAATTGAAAAGGACTATGAATAATCAATTGCATCATCCTTTCAATTTCTCATATTGAATGATGAATTGAATCATATTAAGAATCATGAGTAGTGAGGATAAGAAAAGTGGATGAACATGATGATGGACATTCATTATCATTATTTCATAACAAGTGATTGTATTTCTTGTTATATATTAAGAACTCGAATAGCAAGTATAGGAAAATTTGATGAAACATCGATAAAGTAGCCATATTATAATTTTAATATGAGAATCGATGAAAAGGGATACATGAACACGCAAAAACACTCGAAGATGGTTGAAAAAAAATAGCAATCCTAACTCGTACAAAATATAATGGGAAGCGTCAAACGTAATTTACAAAATATTAATATTTTTTATTTCTAAATTTATATTAAGGACTAAAACAAACATAAAAAATATATATTTTGAGCCATTAAACAAGATATTTCACGATTTTTTTTTAATAGAAAAGATGCATTAGATTTCAATTATGCGAAAAATTGTCTTAAGTATCTTGGTCAAGTATGCAGCCGTTACATTTTATGAAATTAATTTTTTATTTTTTTTTAATTTATGTTACGCATTTGCAATTTATATTTCTATGTTAATTATTTTACTCAAAGATCAACCTAATTATATCAATACTCGTTATCTAATTAAATGTTTTTAAATATTTAAATATGATTTATATTAGACTCCTAAAATTATAATTTAAAACTATAGATATTGAAAAATTTAAATGTCGTTTAGTTAGAAGAATGAAAGGTAGGGAAAGAAATTAAAATAAAAATTAGAAAATTGAAATGATATTTGTATTCTCATATTGTGTTTAAAATAATAATAAGAAATCAAAATAAAATTCAAAAATTTTAATATCTAATTTTAAATTTTTTTTAATATGAATAAGAATAATAATTAAAATAATAATTTCATCAACTACATGATAATAGTAGAAATAATAGAGGTGATTGTAATAATAACGATGGTGATGGTGGTGGTGGTAGTGAAGTAGGAGGATGATGATAACGAGAGATAGTAATAATAACGAGTATAATAATAACAAAAATGTATTTTTAATTAAAACTTGATACCATTATTATAGAAGGTGTAAGTGAAAAAAAGTGTTGATGATATAATAAAAGTGATGTTAGTGATATAGAAGAAGTGATGATAGAGTAATAATAATAATAATTTTTATTATTATCAATGTCAATGGTAGTGGTGGTGTTTATATAATAAAAATGATAGTAATGGTTGAGAAAAAATGATGGCAAAATAATAAGAAAAATAATAATAGATTTTTTTTGAAAAAAAATTTATCATCGGTGTCAATAGAGATGATGATGGTGGTGAGAGTGAAAGTAGCGATAATGGTAAAAATAATTGATAAATGTTAAATCAAAATAATATATTATTATTTTGAAGAAAAAATTAACTATCATTCTTTGAACTTTCATATAGAAATGAAATTATATTTAATTTGTATTGTTATTTTCATTTTATTTCTTTCAACTAAATAATTATTAAATGAGAATAAAACTTTTATTTATATTTTCACTATTTCATTCTTTATAACTAAACCATACCTTATTTCTATTATCTAGAATTGGGGATGGCAATAGGGTAGGGCGAGGATAGCCATCTATCCCTACCCTTGCCTCGTCCTAAAAATTTCGCCTCACACCCGCCTCATGCCCCATTTAGGATAAAATTTTGAGTATCATCCCCTCCCCAAACGGGATGGGACGGGATGAGCTTTGTCAAATTGCTATTTGTAAAGGCAAAATGACTAAGCAGGGGTGAGGATAGACATCCCTGTCTTATCCCAAAAGATTTTGCTTCATTCCTACTTCATGTCCTGTTCAGGATGAAATTTTAAATATCATCTTCGTCCTCAATAAGATGTAGTGAGGCGAACTCCGATCGAGCGAAGCAAATTACCATCCCTATCAATAATATGTAAGAAAAAACTCTTCATTGTCTCCCTAATAAAGAAAAAAAAACATTTTTATTCAAAACTAATTCATAATATTATTTAAATATTTAATACGTTTATTCAAGCCTCTATCATATATATATATATATATATATATATATATATATATATATATATATACTGTTTTCAAAACTCTTTTAAAATTTTATCATCCAATGAATCTCTAACAAATGGGGTCAATTACATTAGTTTAATTTTTTTTCTAAATATTTTTTTATTTATGAAAGAAAAATTGTTTAAGGAATTTATTATATAAACTTAAAAAGAAAAAGAAAAAAATGGAAAAACTCTTTCTCTGTCCGGCATTCAATAATTCTAAAACCTAAGACGAGACGTCAGACAAAACTCACTGGTAAGCTCTAACGCAAACCGGAATGGAGGATTATGGAGACGGCAAACTAAGCATATACAGAGCAGCAAGAAGCATCAAACGCAGAGACAACACACTCTACAACGCATTAAGATCGATCTACGAAGACTCAATATTTGTGGGTGAAATCTCTCAACTATGGCCAGACCTTCCTCTATTAGCAAACCTCCGCTGTGGTTTCTGGTACTCTCCAAAATTCCACTCTACTTGTTACTTCAAATCCACTGATGGCCACACCAATAATTGGTCCTTCAATACCTCTCGTCTTAATCTCCATGTCGCACTTCTTTCTGGCAAGTCCTAATAATATATATTACTCCTATGTTTTTTATGTGGGCTTTGTTATTTGGTGTTTCTGATGATGGTTTTATGTTTTTGTTAAATTGGGTAGGACAGAAAGGAGGGTGTATTATTGTGGATTCAACTCGGAAAGGGAAGAGATTTCCTGATAGTATGTCCAAAACAATTCCCATTTGGACTTGTGTTCTGAACCGTGCTATTCTTCATTATAGGAATAAATTGTGCGATTCTGAATCATCGACGAATGGGGTGAGTTTTTCTTCGTTGTTTGTCTGTTTTAATTTAATTCTGAGTAAATTTTATTGCTTTAGATTCTGTTTGTATTGTAATCTTTCTCCCGTTGTGAATTTGTGACCAAATTGATTGTGACAGGAGGGGAGTTCTTCTAATTGTGCTGGAGATGCAAAACTAGAAAATCGTGGTTGGGATTGTTCTTTGCATCTACCGCTTTGGGTTCCAGATACAGAGAAAGCAGCTATTGAGGAACGTTTAGAAATTTGGACAAAACAGTTGGAAGCGAGTGGAGCTGATATTGCGTCTGTTGCATCGTGCTTGAAAAAGCCTCTACGGCCTTTATGGATATCACAAAAGACTGTAATCTGGTTAAATGAAGTACCTGATCATAATTCGTGGGATTTTACTCCTATTATACTAGTTTCGGCCTCTTCTTCAATAGGTGTTTTTCAACATAGGACAACTTCGGAGTTTAGTTGGAACTATATTCCAGGAGCTGGTGATGATGAAGAAAGTTGGGCAAGAGGTTTGACACCCACTCATTTCTGGAGTCATGTACATGATATTATTAGTTCAGGGCCTGATCTTTGCAACCAAAAGGTGGCTGAAATAGTTGAAAAAGACAGAGTATATCGTGCTCATAGGGGAGAGAATGCTCCTCAAGTTAGTGTCAAGAATCAAAAGTTAGCAGATGCTGTAGCTGATCTTTCTAATGTAGAACTCCCATTAGCTTTGGATGTGCTAAATGGCGATACTACTTTGAAGCCATCTAATGATGCTTATACCATATTTTGGATAGGATCAACTAATCTAGCTATAGGAACAACTAAGCATGGTATACTTTTTATTTTTATTTTTATAATTTTGCATGTGAATTTCTTAATTCTTCATATTATCTTGTTCAAATAATGTTTCATTTGATTTCCAGAAATTTAGGCTTCATCATTTCATTATGGTAATATTGTTCCGGTAATTGGTTGGCTGTGCCTTGTCTTATTCTTAAACAGAACACGTTTGAACAGTTGATAATATGTGCTATTTTCTCTCTAATTTATTTTTTAGGGAATCTTTAAAAGGTAAAAAGAAAACACATGCCAATTAGGAATTGAACTGTCTTTAATCAGACCTGGGTACAGATCAGATATTATTGTATTTGATTCAAAGCAAAGGTTTCCTAATTTTTAGTGGAACCTATATCTTCTTAGGAATAGCCTGGTGGGTATCTGAGATATCAAAAGTAAGCACAATCTATTTCAGTTTAGTGATTTATGTATTTATTTTCATTTTTTGAATAGCATACTTGAATATAAAATGGGTGTTTCATCTCCAGTTTAAGTTTTATATTTGATACATTATGAAAACAAATAGAAATCAGTTCTCATGAATGCTCAAAATCCTTGCATTCTTTTTTATTTGGAATGTTAATTCCAGAACATGGCACCTTTTTTTTTTTTTTTTTTCTATAAAGTTATTGTTTTAGTCATGCAACTTTTCCAATGTACAACTCAATAATTTTAATCAAAGTACCTGCAATATGGTGTAGATATTGTTAATGGCTATGAGAATGTGCGAAGCGGTGGAGTTTTGTAGGCAACAGAATTAAGTGGGAGATAGTGGCATTCAAGCCATAATAGTAATACTCATGGAAATTGAAATAACTGCGGATAATGTGAAAATATGTTAATGTTTATTCCATTCTCTTTTTGTTCTTTTTGTGTTGATATTGGCGTCCATTTGGTTTCCTCCTCCTATTTGGATTACACTTATATTTGTGTTTACTTTTTGATGCAGCTGCACTTATATCTAATGTTGATTGCGTATTGAACTGTGATCAAGACTCAGTCTCTATCAATCTTCCAGATTCTGAAGCACATTTGCACCTTCCTATGGTGGTGTGTAAAATAAATGTTTACAAGATTTAACCAATTTTTTAAAGCAATATTTTCTTTATTGGAATGTTTGTTTCACTTTGATTTAAGTTTCTTTTCTTCCAGAGCTCGAAACTGGATAGGTTTTCCTTGTTCAACAATCTTCCAGCTGCAGTGAAATTTGCAAAATTGAACCTTAGTCAAGGGCATAGACTTCTAGTTTGTTGCCGTAGTGGTAAGGATCCATAAAAGCCAATATGATTTGTCCTTTTGATGGTTACGTTATGGAGTTGCAAGAGAAATGGAGTGACTCTTTTTTTTCTTTCTTTTTTAAAAGAATCACAGAAACTGTTAGATGCCTGCTAATATATCATTAATTTTTGTTTCCAGGTGAAGATGTCAGCGTGTGTGTTTGTCTAGCAATTTTGACATCGCTATTCGATGATAAAGGTATGATGACTGCATATTGCGTAAAGATGGTGTTCCTCAGAAAGGGGCAAAATCATATACCAGAAGAAATTATTTGCTTTTGTTATCCGGTTTGCTTGTTAAAGATATCGAAGGACTTTCCAAGTATATATTTTGTTGGGTTCTCATTCTCAATTTGTTGGCAGCAACCCTGCTTGCTTCATTGATCATCGCCAAACAATTTAAGAAGTATGTTTTCTTCTATTTCTCATTTCCTAATCTTTTGGCCTTCCAATCAGGAACTTTTGATGATGGCAGATCTTTCTCTGAAACGTGTATTACTAAATTGGAGATGCGGCGTCGACTTGTATTCATCTGTAAATTTGCAATAACTGCCCGACCATCTAGAGGAAATTTGAAACAGGTTTTTGGTTTTCTTACTGGAGGAAGAGTTGCTTCTGCCTGACCATTGCTACTGTCCAGGAATAATGATTTCAATACCCTGACCATTGCTGCTATCCAGGAGTAATGATTTCAATACCCCTCTTGTGGGCTGGCATAGCTGCTTAAGCAATTGCTTATCCTGGAAAATCCATGGCTGAGCATCTTATTACATTGAACAAGTCTTTTGTAACTGTTCAAAACCATTTGTAATGTAACACTACGCTGAACTATTTTTGTTGTCTCTCTCATCCTATATGAGACTTCAATCTACTCCGTTTCTCAATCTCTCTCTCGCATATATCCATCTGCACAAGGTGAAATTTTCTGCTAAGAATTCCACCATTTCTTTTTGTTTGAGAACATATTCCATGTAAAATGAATAATCAATAGATAAGGAATATACAAAGTTGAAGAAGGGTTATTCATCACAAGACTTAAAAAGTTTTTTTTCAATAGAATTCAATTTCAATTATTTAACTCTAATTTCTTTTTAATCTTTAGGTCTTAGCATTCTCAACACAAGCAAACATGGTTTCTGTGGAGCGCTGAGGCTTGAACCTTGATGTGCAACAGACCAAGCAGTGGCTGAAGCATTCTTAACATTAGTAAAACATGGTTTTTGTGGAGCGTTGAGGCTTGAACCTTGACGTGCAATAGACCAAGCAGTAACTGAAAGGAGGTTTTTTAGGTGATAATTTTGTAATTGGCATTATAATCTTTGTAAAGGTACCCAATCTACCAACCTACTACATAATCCATATCTAATAGATAAGCCTAGCCCATTGCTTTGCTCAATCTATTGATCTCACAAGAGACGGGCATTCCTAAGCTAGCTCTTCTCAAAGTTTATGTAGAATGTGCCCAATTAAATCCATAACTAATTTGTATGTGGAGGTACTAATAAAGAATTAATTTATAACAGTTGGATTCAGTTCATTTATTGTACATCATTAGCAAACATGTTTTCTGTGGAGTGCTGACGCTTAAAACTTAACGTGACAATAGACCAAGCAGTAATTGAAGCATTCTTAACAAAAGCAAACATGGTCTCTGTGGATTGCTGAGGCCTGAACCTTAAAGTGACAATAGACCAAGTAGTAACTGAAAAGAGGGTTTTTTTTTTTTTTTTTTTTTTTTTTCAATGTGATATTTTTGGTAGTTGGCATTATGATCTTTCTAAAGGTACCCAATCTACTAACCTACTGCATAATCTATATGCAGTGGATGTGCCCAGGCCATTGCTTTGCCCAATCTAGTAATCACATAAGGGACGGACAATCCTACGCTACTTCTGAAAATTTATATATATTATGCCCAATCGAATCCATAACTAATTTGTATGTGGCTTTACCAGTGAAGAATTAATTTATAATCGTTGGATTCAGTTCATTTAATGTACATCATTAGCTAACATGATTTCTGTAGAGTGTTGAGGCTTAAACCTTAATGTGACAATAAACCAAGAAGTAATTGAAACATTCTTAATACTACCAAACATGGTTTATGTGGAGTGTTGAGGCCTAAACCTTAACGTGACAATAAACCAAGTAATAATTGAAGAGTTTTTTTTAGGTGATATTCTAGCAATTGGCATTATGATTTTTGATAATAGACATTATTGATTATAATTATCCTTTTATATTTAGTATTTTAAAAGTGTTTTTAGGATATATGCACTCGAATAATATTTATTTTATTATTTAGAAGAGCATTAGAGGCAAACGAGCAAAAATTTGCTAAATTTGGTGAAATTCCAATGCTAGGGGATTTACTTTTAGAGAAAGAGATGAGAATATTACATTCTTAGAGCTCTAGAACGTGAAAGAGCTATTCTTAAAGTTAGAAATGGACATCTAAGCTTTTCAGCTTGGGTATATACACACAAATCCATTCTCTTTTGGGATGTCAAAGTCATTCCAAAGTCGGATTAGGAATTTGGATCACTGGACAATGCAGAACACTTTCTAGTATTTAGACCATATCTTGATTTATACACATTAGATTAAGATGATTTAAAATCCTACATAAATAAGACATCAAGATCTAAAACTCATATGAGAACCCAATCCAAAACCTGTCTCCATATGATCCGAAATCGATTTAGAACTTACCGTATAGAACCCGAAGTTATATTCAACCATAAGTCTAATTATTTTCGAAAACAATCCTAGATAGGACTTGTGGATCGTCATATCTATCTATAAATAAATATAAATATCCTCTAAGGTTACACATTCATAAGACATTAGATTAAGAAGAAAACTTCTCCTTCTTCTTCTTCTTCTTCTTCTTTTTTTTTTTTTTTTTTTTTTTTTTTTTTTTTGGTGTTTTACTTTGAAAGATGCAAGGCTAAATTACTTTTTTCGATTCAAGAGGAATGTAAACTTCGAAGAACAAGTTATGAGACTCTCTATTTGATTTTATAATCTATTCATCTTTACTATCTCTTATTCTTATGAATTAGTTGAATAATAATCTTGTTTGTAATTAGTTAAGAGATCTATTAGGTAATTGTAACCAATGAATAATTACTAGATTAGAGTTTATAATACGCAAATATTATAAAATCTACTAATGACTTGATCTTCTCACTTTGGTGAACCAAAAATTAAAAAAAAAAAAAAACACTTCACATATTGAAAAGAGAGGCTAGATATAATTTGTGTTTCTAATAGGGCATTAATTTCTTCACCGGAATTAATATAGCCCCGGATTTGAAGTTCTTTTAGTGATTTTGAAGCTGATCTTGTCATGGCTAATAAAAAAAATAACAATCATTGTCTTAAGGAGTTGGTTGCTCCTAACTTTAATCTTCGACCCTTATGTATTGAATATCATGCTATAGATATAGCTTTTGATTTGAAGTCCGGCATAATCTATCTTTTGCCTACTTTTCATGGTTTACCGTGTAAAATCCTCATAAGCAACTTAAATAGTTTCATATGGTTTATTCCAGCTTGAAATCGGCTAGGATAACCGATGATTAGATTAAGCTAAGGGCATTTCCTTTCTTTTTGGTAGACACCGCTAGTGACTAGCTATACTACTTGCCCTCTAAATCAATTAACACATGGAATGAGATAAAAAAGCTCTTCTTGGAAAAATATTTCCCAGCCTCTTAAGTTATAAATATTCAAAAAGAGATGTGTAGAATTAAATAGTATAATAGGGAGATATTGTATGAGTATTGGGAGCGTTTCAAGAAGATATGCGTTAGTCGCTCTCATCATCAAATCATAGAACAACTCTTGATCCAATACTTCTATGAAGGACTTTTTCCATAAGATAGGAGCATGAAAGATACAGCATGTGGTGGTGCTTTGGTAGATAAAATGCAAGAAACGAGTTAGGAATTTGATATCCAACATGGCTACAAACCGTCAACAACTCAAAACTAGATAAGACCCTCTACCAAAAAAGGTCAATGGTGTCGGATCAAGAGATGCCAAGCCTAGTGGAAAACTCAAACAAATAATAATAACCAAATAGCCCTATGTTGAAACACCTAAGCTATAAACCAATCAAAAATTATCTCTAAACAAATCTCAAATACACATAATCACAAACCCAATTCACAATCAACAAGATCCTCAATATAACTACAAACAAAAACATGCAATTATCAAACCACAAACACACAAATTCGAATACTAAGGAGTGGTGATCTCTAAGAAAATCAAATCAAATTTAATTTAAATTTTTACAAAACCTATATACTGCCTAAAAGTATTTTTATGCTAAATTTCAACTCAATATAAGCTTTATAACCCCAGTTTTCAACTAGTCAAAATTCTAGATAGAATAAGGTTCTAAAATTTATACCAACTTCTCCGAACCCAAAACCCTAACAAATAGTTTTGTTAATTTTTTATTGTTTTGAAAGAAAAAAAAACTCCTTAAATAACTACTATCAAAATTTTAGATCAAAATAAAATCTCAAGCCTTGGTTACGGTATGAAGATTGAAATTAATTAACTTGAAATTATTCGACTTTGAATTCTAATCGCCCACAATTTATCAAGTAATAAAACAATTAAGATAATACAAGTCTCAATGACTCAACCTAAGCAGAGATCCACTACTCAAGTTAATTTAGAGAGTACTTAATAGATACATTCATTAAGAATCCATTAGAAGCAATTTTGATCTAAGTTCGCCTTAGTCGATCACTCTAAGGATATGTTTATGATGTCCTAGCTAGTCGAAGCAAAGGAATACATAAAAGTTATGGAGGAAAAACTTTTAAATTTTATTCAAAATATCATTAAATTTTCTTCTAAAGTAGCAAAAAAGTGTGCAAATACTCACATGTAAAAGTCCTAAAAGAGTAAGCTATGGTAAGAATTCTACCATAGCCGAATCCTGCTTTCTTTCCTAAATAGTACTCATTTCCTCTTTTGACTTGGACTTGTGTCTTTCATCTTTAATTAAGATTTTATTAATCCAACCTAATTAAATTTGGATTCACATTTCATGGACTCAAAATAAATAAAAGAATCCCTAACGAATAAGGATTCATAACACAAAATATTATCCATCCACCTAGGTAATATTCGGCTCTATTCTTATCCAACAAGGAAATCGCTAACCATATGGATTAATTTTTTTCAATCCAAGTATTTATAAATAAAATTAACCCAACTACTTAAAATAAAATCTAAATAATTAAAAGATAATCCATATAAATAAAAGGCCATAAAAATAAAATATAGATGGTTGAAAGTTTTGGCCACTCGAGAGTGTCAAACTTTCGACCAAGTGGGAGGTTGGATGTTCCCGCATTAGTCATTGAATTCAATACTTCCATGCTTAAACAATAGATAGCTAGATTAGCTTTTTTAATGATAAAAATGGCAGTAGGTGGTACTTAATAAATAAAGGCATATGACATTTGTTTAGTTATGGGCATGTCACTAATATACATTTGTCCTCATAACATGAACCTATGGAGCAACCTAGTGTTCTTGGCGGTCTTTTAGGGACGCGTGTTCTAGGGATGCCACAAAGAAGATGTAAACCCTA